TCTTATTTTATATGGTTTTCGGCCATCCCGCCGGCACCACAATAGTCTTCACCCGTCTCCAAGCTGTGAGGATGAGGCTGGTTGCCATGGTGACTGAAGTGTCTGGACCCCAAGCAGCGATGATACAGAGGCGGCTCTGGAAACCAATCTGACTCCCCCTCAGACGGTACGAACCTCTCCTGTATCATTATGCAACGCCGAGCGTGCGTCCTATTTGTAGCGAGATTCATCTCTGATAACGTTAACCATCGAAGAGCCCGAAGAGGAGACGAACACCCCGATTATAGATCCGCGAGGTGAAAATAAAAAGTTACTTCATGTAACAAGAGGATCGCCGATGAGTCATGTGATCACCGGAAAGAATTACAATGTAACCACGTCGCTGCCGGAGCAAGTTATTCACTTCCTCGCTCGCACTTCATATCGACCCAAAAAACTAATTCAAACCCCCCCAAAGATTCTATATTTTCCCAAACGCAACATGTGCTGTGCAATTGCTGTTTACATACATGTGCACGCCACACATGTGCATATGCATTCGTATGTGTGTGCGTAGGGGCTCAGGCTTTTAAAGTGATATTAGACCCCCATTCACACAGGGATCGGCCGGCACGTACAGCTCCGTGCTGCGTGCACGGACGTATCGGGCCGCTCCCGGGAATGACAGGTGCTGAGTGTGATTAGGCGGACATAGCCCCCCCACCTCATGTGCAGGTCCATAGGGGGTGCGTGTTTCCTGGCTCAGTCAGCGTATGAGTACGGACACCCGCACAGGCGTGCAGTGTGGGTGAGCATAGAGGGGCGCACGGCCGCGTAGTCCCATAGAGAAGGACGGGGGCTGCGTACTAATCACACGCAGCACCTGCCCTTCCCGGGAGCTGCCCGATACGGCCTGTGCACGCAGCATGGAGCTGTACGTGCCGGCCGATTCCTGTGTGAATGAGGGCTTAAAGGAGAACTATGGGGTTAAGGCTTTTCCCCATAGTTCTCCTTAGGGTAACGGGAGGACACAAACTAGCGTCCTCCCGTCACCCTAGGCTCAGTATATAGGGAGCTACAGCTCGCGGTATACTGAGGCGCCGCAGCTGAAGTGGATCCCGACAATTGTGTCTGGATCCGCCCAGCTGCGTGATTGACAGCTGGCTCTGCCTATCCAGAGGCAGAGCCAGCTGTACCCGCCCCCTCCCCCGTCCATTCTGCCAGTCATCGCTGGCGGATCGGAGCAGGGAGGGGGGAATCCAGCCCCTCCCCTGTCACGGCACCCCCCTCATAGTTCTCCTTTAAAGTTTCGTCTTTTGGTTCCCACCTTTGACTAAATCTGCTTTTCTTCTCCTTTAAAAATGTTTAATTCCTCATTTTCTAGTGGGTCCCCGCAGGGCTTACGCCCCCCGCACGGGTGCAGCCATCAGCTAAATCATCTGCTGTGGAGGTGCCCGTGCGTGCTCGTGCCCGCAATGGCTGTGCACATCCATAGACACTAACAGACCTGCAGCAGGCCACGCGCCTCCTCTACGCCCAAGACTTTGATGGCCGATGGTTCCTCTGCCATCTGGTAAGTGTGTGTGGGGGGGGGGGGAGAGGGGGCAAAAGGGGACAGATAGAGGTGCTGAGCGGTTTTTACCCTAATGCAGACAATGCATGAAGGTAAAACATGCCTGGACCTCAATACTACTTATTTGTTTTTTTGAGTTTACTTATAAGTTTTTTTTGACACTTAAAGGGGAACTACAACCTCCCATCCTTTACAGCCAAGGAAGGCACCATCTTAGCCTCTATTTGGACTGCAGTTGCCATGGTGCCGCCCATGTGATCAGCTATGACGCTAGCCTTTTGAGGGCTTTAAATGTTCAGTCGAGAGCTGAAATAAGCACATAGGTAACCTTGATAGATGGCGTGCCTTGAAGGTAACTGTTTTGGAAGATATAAAATCGCTGGGGGTTTAGTTCCGCTTTAATTTTGTTATTACAAGGGAGGCTTAAAAGGCCCCCTATGTGTTAGCACTGGGCAGGTGACAGGTACTCTTTATGAAGACATCAAGGTTTATTAGACCCCTAATGTCTCCCCTGCCATCTTCTCCAGCCATTCACACACTGGTATTGATTCGCTGTTTACCCAGCTTTGCAGCTGGGAGATTGGCAGCGTCGAACATGGATAAGCTCAGAGCTGAGCGCTTCCAGGTTCACACATTGGAAATACTGGCTTTTTTCATATCTGCCTGGAGACGTACGGGGTACTCTGTGCATGCTACCAGCCTTCCCGGGGTGGATGTGGCACGGAGAGGTGCTGCCTGCTTTGGATCAGCTGACACTAGCAGTGAGGAAACGCCTAAAAGGTCACAACTGGCGTTCGATGATGTCATCACTGCACATTTTCGATGATGTCATCAGAGTGACCACAGTAAGACTTCCAAGTAACAAGCTTTGCAGATGCCTGTATAGACTGACTGCAGAACACGTTCCAGTGGCAGCAGTGATGCCCGGTATGGATGATCACTCTGGAGCAAACGTTACAAGTGCAGAATTGTGACATCACCTTCTAAGGCCAGGCTCAGGTGAAGAGCAGCGAGGGCCGCACACAGCCAACTCACAGAGACAACTGAAAACATGTCAATCAATGAAAGAAAAAGATAAGCGGGTCGTAAATTCTGGGCGGCGCCCCCTCCGTATCGCTAATTACCTGCTGATGATGATGAAGAATTTCAGGAGGAGGAGGGCCTGGTTCAAGCTGGCCGGTTCCTTCAAATCCTCAGCACAGTGACCCAGCTGCTGGCTCAGGACTTGGAGGACATCGCGGGGTAAGACCGGGATCTCCGAGGAGGAATCTTCAGGTCTGAGGAAGGGAAAAAATGAAACATAGACCAGAGCTTTACCAAACAGGAAGCAGAGATACTTTTTTGTTTTTAACTAATAAAACGGCATTGATCAGGACAGATGTAGCTCTTTGATACAACATACAATATATTGCCAAAAGTATTGGGACGCCTTTACACGCACATGAACTTTGATGGCCTCCCAGTCTTAGTCCGTAGGGTTCAGTATTGGGTTGGCTCCGCCCTTTGCCGCTATAACAGCTTCACCTCTTCTGGGAAGGCGTCCGCAAGGTTTAGGAGTGTGTCTATGGGAATGTTGGACCATTTGTGAGGTCAGGTACGGATGTTGGGGGAGGGGCTCGCAGTCTCCCCTCTAATTCATCCCAAAGGTGTTCTATGGGGTTGAGGTCAGGACTGTGTGCGGCCAGTCACGTTCCTCCCCCCCCAAACACCCCCATCCATGTCTTTATGGACCTTGCTTTGTGCACTGGTGCGCAGTCATGTTGGAACAGGAAGGGGCCGTCCCCAAACTCCTCCCACAAAGTTGGGAGCATGAAATTGTCCAAAATGTCTTGGTGTGCTGATGTCTTAAGAGTTCCCTTCACTGGAACTAAGGGGCGGAGCCCAACCCCCGAAAAACAACCCCCTCCCCCATAATCCCCCCTCCACCAAACTTTACACTTGGCACAATGCAGTCAGCCAAGTACCGTTCTCCTGGCAACCGCCAAACCCAGACACGTCCATCGGATTGCCAGACAGAGAAGCGTGATTGGTCACTCCAGAGAACACGCCTCCTCTTCTCTAGAGTCCAGTGGCGGCGTGCTTTAAACCGTGGCATCCCACGCTTTGCATTGCACTTGATGATATTCATCACTACCCGGCTTGATCTATGCGATCTAGTGCATTCCGGGCTCGAACTTCCCTGGATATGGTGTTACTGGGCCCTGGGGGCAGGGACTGATGTGAATGAATAGTGTGTAAAACGCGACATAAATTGACAGTTACAGGTCATATATAAAAAAATAAATGAACGGCACGTAACTGTCAATTTCTATGTAAAACAAATACAAGGAAAAAAAAAAGGAACGCACCTCCTCGGCTCCAGAGTGTGAACGGAAATGATCTTCTCGAAGTTGGTCACAAACGCTTCCAGCCATTGCTGCAAATAATTGAGATCTTTCTGCAAAACACAAAAAAAAAACCACAAGACGGGATCTCGTGAGACCAGACACACAATAAAGTTTGTCAACCAATCAGGCGTTTCAATGGACAGTGGACTCCGCAACAAACAAAAATATGTTACTTCTTGTCCGAACAGTATAATCAGGAATGCGGGATAGAATAACCCAACGTCCGATCGAGGTGTCTATGAGATTACCAGACCGGAAGTCAACTTTGTGTTACATATTTTCAGTTCTCAGAAGCTCCTAAGTGAGGTCATTGGAGCCGTATTGATGTATTCACAGAAGGAAGTGGAGCGTCGTACAATAGTATATATTTATTTAAAGGAGAACTATGAGGGGGGAGGGGGAGTGCTTTTCACTCACCTCATAGTTCTAGCCGACCTGTGACAATGAGACTGTCACAGGTCGGCTCAGTAGATTGGGAGGTGAGCGAACACATACCGGCGTTCGCTCACCTCTCGGTCCTGTCACAGCTCTCTGCCGTGACAGGGGAGGGGCTGGATTCCCCCCTCCCCGATCCGCCAGCGCTGACTGGCGGAACGGACGGGGGAGGGGGCGGGTACAGCTGGCTCTGCCCCTAGATAGGCAGAGCCAGCTGTCACTCACCCAGCTGGGCGGATCCAGACATAATTGTCGGGATCCGCTTCAGCTGCGGCGTCTCAGTATACCGCTCCCTATATACTGAGCTTAGGGTGACGGGAGGACGCTAGTTTGTGTCCCCCCTTTACCCTAAGGAGAACTATGGGGAAAAGCCCTGACCCCATAGTTCTCCTTTAAGGTATTCATTCTAGAGATGCCGGGATTCACATTTGCCAGTCACTTGTCATTATGTCTACAGCCGAGACATTTTTGTTTCCATTTTAGATGGGAGTAGGGAATTATTTAAACCACTACTCATTTCTTTTCGCCATTCAAGAGATTTCCCTTCACTTCCTCTGCTGTATACACAACAGGAAGTAAAATATATTCAAAATGAGAGAAAACCACTATTAGACAGCTGACACCGGAACAGGCGCCCACATTGCAGGATTTCCCCTAAATTCCTGTTCTGGGGACAACTTAAAATGTTGGATTTCCCCATTTTGCACTAAGGGCAAAATGCCAATACTACAAAAATGGCTGAAAAATGGGGTCCATCCCTAGCTTCTCTCCTCTCCGCTGATCTGTGCCCCCTCCGATCCCCGCTGCTTCGACAGCTGGAATCAGAGGGGACACAGAGCCAATCCAGCTGCCGGTACCCAGTGGGGAGGAGAGAAGCTGTCAGGAGGTCAATCAGGCCGGTGCGGGGAGTAGAGAGCCGTCAGGAGCCCGATCGTGGCGGTGTGGGGAAAAGAGCGCTGTCAGAACGTGTCAATCAGAGCGGTGCGGAGAGGAGAAAGCTGTCAGGAGGTCAATCGGGGCAGTGGGGCGAGGAGAGAGCTGTCAGGAGGCTGAGCGGGACGGAGAGTGCCGTCAGGAGACTGGGCAACGTGGTTCGGGGAGGAGAGCTTGGCTTCGGTGACAGGTGGGACGGGGTAGAGCAGTCAGGATGGAGAGCGTAGCAGAAACACTCAGCGAACATTACTGATCACTCAACGTTTGTAAATAACTGAGGACATAGTAAGCTTACTATGTCCCCAGTTATGAATGAACAGGAAGTGCTCTACATCACTTCCTTTTCATTTATGAATGGGGACAAAGTAAACCATCTCCTCTTTTCATGAATGAACAGGAAACAGCTCCATACAGAGACTTTCTGTCCATACATAAACTATAAATATTTACTATCTCCACATTGTGAATGAACAGGAAGCCTCTGTACTGAGAGCTTCCTGTTCATTCAGTGCTGGGGCTGCAGCAGAAAAAGAGACTGAGGACTCTGTGTTCTCAATCTCTCCTTCCATTTCCAAAGGGAAATATCAGGGGCCTGTTTAGACCTCTGATATCTCCCCAAAGCCTCCCCACCCCCACCCCCGACAGTAAAGTTAGAAAAAATACAAAATAAAATAATTTAAAATAATTCTACAAAATGTTAAAAAAAGTTGAGAAAAAAAAATAGTAATTTATGGTTTCGGCCCGACAAATGTTTACATTTCAGTTTTGATCTAAAAATCTAATTTCGGTAGTTTTAACCCCTTATTGCTATTTCCAAAACCAATTTTAAAATAAAAATTGTTTGGTTTTCGATACATTTTAAGATTCTTTGTATCCTTCTGGAAATTGTTACTGTATTCTTCTAGGGGCCCATTCACATTACGGAGTTGC